TAGATTTGAGAAGCAGAGGACAAGCTGCCCATTGGCACTCTAATGGAGTCATTACAAAGCATTTCCAAACACCACAGGTACTTGCTTGGCGGAAGCAATGAAGTTCATGCACCTTCCAGGCATACAGATGTCTCAATTCTCGAAAGTCTCCCAGTTTTGCAGGTGAAGAAACTGCAGGGTCTCACAGACTCTGGACAATGAGTCTGAAAACCAAGCTAACAAATGGCACCAGGAGGATTCAAACCTAATAAAGCGGAGCTATGCTACACTGCCTTTGATTGACTGTGATGTCCATACTAGAATTCTCAGCCAGGAGGCATTGCAGAGAAAGATAAAACAGCAAACCAGCCAGTAGGGCTTTCCATGTAATAATGAGTCCGGTTCACACTTAAGGCCACTCCGTGTCATAACTCAGAGCATGCAGGACAGTGACCTCAGTCAACATAACAAAGCAAAGAAGGATTACTTAACTTTTTCTGGTACAAAAAACAATTCCTGATATTACCTAGTTGCAGACTATTTGTTAGTCTACAACGAAGAATGACCACTGCAGCTAGGAAACACAAATTCTTCCTGAGATTTGGGGAAGTCTGAGCAAGTAACACTATTCTATCCAAGCAACATGACACCAAACTGGAGAAAAGAGAAAGATTGGCTCAAGTAGTTAGATAAGTAGAGCTTTGGGAATAATCTAAAACTTTACTTACATAGTTGAAATTGTAAAGTCTCAAAGTAATATTTAATAAGGTTTATGACTAGCAAGGTGACATGTGCAGAGTGGGCATCTGGTGGATCATTCCAGAACAAATGGATGAATTCATAAACGCGATGTTAATGACAGATAGGCGTTGTTCTTTCATACACTTGAACTGTTTCTTAACTCCACAATGTAGATCCCATGACATTTCCTTGTTGGCAGTGTTTTCCTTTTGGTTTGAATCCCAGGATCTCTAACTCAAACAAAGGAAAGGAAGTCCCATCCATCTTGAGAGAGAAAAGGAAACAACTGGTCCCAAGTAAGGAAAAGCAGAGGTGAGGCTCTTGTCTTTGAACTGAGACAAGAGGTAAAGAACAGCAACCACTTCTTCCAAAAAGCTAAGCATCTGAGAAAACACGAACCCATTCTCTAGTAGAGCATGAGAACTTTTGACATACACATGTGTCTTTAAAGCCATACAGTGATGACAGGCAGAAATTAAAACATTTTCAGTATGAACAACTAACACCAACAGTTGTAAAATCAGGCCAAGGAAAACATCTTTCTTAAAAGCATTTCAGTGCCCTTAGGACTCCATACTGAACTGATATGCACTCGAAAATAACTATTCCTCCTCTAAAGGAACTTTTAAAATTAACCCAAGCAAAGGAACACAAGTATATCCAGTTATTGCTAAGATGTTAGCTGAGATCTATACCGGTTAAACTGTTTAGCAAATGTCTGTCCTGTTAGAAAGGAAAATCAATCAATCAATCCATCAAGACGGGTCTAAGCAAAATAATGAAGATTTCTAGAACACATTTTACACCATCCAACAATGACATCCTTTCACCAGTGGCCAATCCGAGGTTCTCTGAGCATGCTCTAATCTTAGGACAATCAATAGCATTATCTGTGGGGTGCTCAAGTCTCTGCCATAGTGCAAGGCTTTTAGCTCATTTTAGCAACATTAAAAAAAAATGATGCAGGGTGCCTATAACCTTGGTGCTCAACATGAACTTAGCCACCTTCACACAACACACTGACAAAGCAAAAGCACTGCAGTTTGTTTTGACAAGCAGAGTCTCTACCAAATGGCAAAGCCGAGGGGACAAGTAAAATGGCCAATAGAACTAACTACACACGTCAGGTGAAGTGGAGCCTTAGATCCAAGGAGGGAGCAGCCTCATTTCCAAGAGACAAAAACGGTAGCTTTTAAAAAGCGAGTAGGAAGAGTGAGTGAGGTAGCTGTACTTTCAAAAACTAACAAATTAAACACAAGAAGTATTAAAGTAATCCAGACTGAATGAAATGTGGGCTTTCAAAAATCTATCACCTCTATCTCTCTCTCTCTTCCTCCTTCCCTCCCCCCTCCCTCCCCACGAGAAAACATGTAAGATGTGGTAGAATAGCTGACATGGGCATAGAAGACCTATCAAACCAGGGATTTAACTTTCATTACTATCTCATTTCCCTAAGTGGTTGGCATTAAGTGGAAATAATAGTTACAAAGACAAAATATTTACAGCTGAGGAGGTTACATATTTAACTGCCCTAGGTTCCAGCCTGGTAGTTGCCAGAAGAAACCTGCAAGGAATGACAAAGCTTTTTTTTTAATTAACAAAATGCACTTGCCTTGGCTTTTGATGATGCAAAACTGAGCCCACATTTTAAAAGCAGAGCATCAGTCATCAAAACTGAATCCCAGCAGGTCTTAGCTTTTAAGAATACAGAACCGGCTTCAGAGATTGACCCATACATCTTTATCCTTAAGAATAGAAATATTTCTGAAGTTTACAAAATATGCACAATGTACACATTACTTGAGACAAACTTGGCCACCAGATTTGTCTTTCTGTCTGCTTCTTGTCCCTCTGGGGAAATAATGAATCTGATACAGATACAGGCAAAAGTGGAATACATCCATGGTTTGGGGATGGTGCCTCATTTGGAACAAAACAACCTGGATGACAAAAGCACATACTAACATGGAGCAGCAATTTGTACAGTATTACCCAGACCCTCTTTTTACATTACTGTTTTTTCATTGTTTCAAAATATACACTCACTCCTAAGGAGAAAAGGGAAGACTTGGGTTAGTAACTGAATCTGGAAGTCGCTGATTTCCCAGCGTACTATTAAAATCCCCACACCCTTACTTAAGAAGAGAAACATACAAGGGAGCTGCCTGGAAGTGCCCTTACTTTAATTCTCAGTTGGATTTCCCCATCTCCCCATCTCCACAACAGGTTCTTCCCAGTTTTCGTTTTCAAATCTCCAGAGAAGCATGCACATACAGGCAAACGAGCACCCTACATTTACCACCGACCACGCAGATTCACTGACACCATGATAAAGAGACAGCAACAACACCACAATCGCAGCTAGAGACCTGGGTATCCTTTAAAACACTCTGCCTAAAGCTCCTTTCCCACACAGTGTTCGACTTCCTCTAGGAACTTTAAAGGCCCAGAAAGACGAAACAGGTTGCACCCAAGAGACAAGAAGGAAACAGCATGTGCGCTTTGGAGATGAGGGCTTTACTGCAAAATGAGCAACGGTGGTCAGTTGCCCACAAGTGCAGCGTTATTAGAAAATGCCAGTCCAGACTCCAGACACCCGTGTCATGTCATGGAGAAAAGTAAGTAAATAATAGTGGCCACTGTTTTTAAGAGTAAGAATCGTAATTACAATTGTCACCACAGCCTTCCCGTACAGCAGCTTGCACGTGGAGCCGCTCCTCCAGCTCCACCGCCTCAGCCTCCACGCATCCTGCAGAAATAGGGTGCTCTGGCCTGGGGCCTGCAGAGTCAGTGGGTGGATCCGGTGGGCGGGGTTTGTGGGCGTGGCCTCCGGCCCCGCCCCTCGCTCCTGGCGCGCCTAGCCCTCGTGCGCCTGCGCTTCCCACCTGCCTAGCAGGCTCTTGGTTGGTGGCAGAGCTATGTATGCTCTGGGGACCAGGCTGTGGTAGCGCTTGGGATGCTGATAATGGAGCAGCATCCTACTGAAACCTTGAGATCTAACTGGAGACTCGCTAGACGGTCACTGGCAGTCAGAACCCGGGGCAAAGGAGATGGATGTGGTGAAGCTTCTCTGTTTGCTTGGAGGAAGGGTGGCGAAGGAGCCGGCCTCTTCGGGCTCGGCGAGGAGGGGGGGGGGGGGGGGTGTCTCCTCACAACTAGCTAAGGAAACTTGGGGCGAGCGCGTGCGCTGCCAGCCCACAGACCTGGAGCGAGCTCTGGCCTGCAGTTACTTTTCGCGGGTAAACCGCTCCTGTGAACAACTCCAGGGTTCCCGCTCCTGTGAACAACTCCAGGGTTCCCGTGCCAGGCGGGCTGCGGGGCAGCTGGTGCCAGGCACTTTTTGAGGTTGCCCTGCAAACAAAGGCGCATTTCGGGGTGGCTGGGGGTGCTTCTGGTGTCGTTATTTCGGTATAAACTGGGATTCCCCCGCCTTTAAGGAACACCTCATTGTATTAAAGCCTAATTTATCTTTGGATTGTATAATTATGGCCAAATTATGTCGGCTGAAAGTTAAAACAAGTCATTGTCATACAAGAAAAGAGTTTGTGAGTGGTTAGATATTGTGGAACTTCGGAGGGTTTTAAAATAGAAAGAACCTTCACATCTTCTTTTGACTGAAACTCCTTCTAAATCTAAACTGATAATATTTGGGAAGTTGTGAATGAAATGTCATGTCTACATTGGGGGAGGGGGGTCACCATTTCCTGACCGAAAATTGCCGTGGCTGATTGAATGTTGTACTCACATGGGAAATGTTAGCATGGTCCTGATTAATAATGGTGTATATTTTATCTATATTATTAATCTAAACTTTTAAAAGAAACTTGCCTCCCCATGTAGCCCACCCAGTCTGTTCCTTCTGTCTCAGTCTTCAAAGCATTTAACTTACAAGTGTATCCCCCAACTTCTTCCTCATTAATCTGAAATTTTAAATAAGTTTGAGAGCAGGGAATTTGGACTTAGTGGTAGAGACCTTGCCTAGCATGAGTGAGAACATAATGATCCAGTCCAGAAAGAAAGCATTGAGCTTCCTGATTTCCCCTCCACCTCTTATGCCTCATGCTAAGCCTGTATTAAAATATTTGTATTTTTTTAAAAAAAACAACAATGCTTTAAAATACAAGTTTTGAATAATTACCTTCTTCCTCTCTCTTTCTTGCTTGAACCCAGTATAGTGCCAGAACAGGATGGTTTCTGTCTAGATATTTTCTAAATGACAAAAACTGCCTTTCAGTAGCAACTCATTCTCAGAAACTTCAGTTCTCACTTAACCAGAAGTCATGAACAGGAGCAATTGTCATTCATTAAAAACACAGCAGAATGTCCTACTTCTTCGAAGACCCTTGCCGCCAAAGCTCAAGTTGCCTTTATCTAAGAAGAATGTTCAAATAGGTATGTACAGATATGTGTATTAACCTTCATGTGTTTTTCATAGAAACTCCTTATATATAATTATATATAATTGTTATGTAATTATGGTAAGGTGATGACAACCAATGATCAACTCTATAGGTATGCTCATTGATGGATCCTCATCTGTGGATTTGTCAAGTGTGAATTTACTTATGACTAAAATTTATTTGAAATCTTCAAATCAATAGCTCTTTTATGGACATCCGTGGGAATGTGTGTTAGGTAAATGAAAATACAAGTTCTCCAACACACCTGCCCCCAGCTGGATGGAACAGGGCTACCTCCACCTTCCTGTTTCAGCTCCTTCCCACAATATAAACAAGTGCTCCTTTCCTGGTCTGTTCAATTCCCTGATTGTTGAATTTTTGTGCCCCCCCCACCCCCGTGATTTCTTTAAGTGTAGTGCTGAACCACAGTCTAAGCTAAAGAAGGTCGTGATGGACTTAGTAGAGAACATGTGTCAGGTGAACTTCGTTGATGTGTGAGTGTTCTTGGCTGTGAGTTCCATGTTAACAAACTAATACTATATTCTGTGTGTTAATAAAGATTAATTCTGTCACAAATGTGACATCAATCCTATGTCCCTAAAAGCAGAACATATAACCACAAGATTATATGTTGATTAGCTGATGAAAATGCTGAGAGCAGAGGCTTGAAGAAACCTAACCTATGTTCCCCAGGAGCTCTGTGTAGGGTAATTGAGCATTTGTTAAGAGTTCACAAATAATGAAGATTGACTGTATTTGTTAAGCACAGTACTAGGAAGTGGTGATAATAGTTAACAAAGCCAGACCCTGCTCATCTCCTTTTGTCAGTTTCTGTCAGGTAGGATAGAGAGAAAAATCGTGAGCAAATGTAAGCTCACACTGTGCTAAAGATGAGCCATTTCAGGGGGCTGGAGAGATGGTTCAGTGGTTAAGAGCACTGTCTGCTCTTCCTCAAAGACCAGGGGTTCTGTTCCCAACACCACATGGTGGCTTGCAGTTTTGGCACTCTTCTGGCCTCGGCAGGCACTAGGCATGCACATAATGTAGGCAAAACCCTCATACACATTTTTTAAAAATTAAAGATAAGCCACTTTTATGATGTAACTTTATAAAATCCTGTTACTCCTGTATGTCTGCTTATTTCTCTACTAACTATTGTATTTTCATAAGCAATAATATTTCATCTTCACCTCCTGAATCTCCTCTACCACTTGACTTTATTGATTGTATTATATTGTGAGGTTTATTTATAATGTTAAATCTGCTATATTTTTGATCCATGCCGATTAAAGATGTGAAAAGCAACATATCCATTACCTCCAAATCCCATACAACCTTCATGGAATCATTTCCACATCATCCTTTCTGTGTTTCTGTATTGTCTGTTTCTATATTTACAGCCTGTTCTTTAAATAGTACCCATGGTCATACAGACTGATAGTGTATTACCAGTTTCTGTGCTGGAGATTTTCTATTTGTCCTTTGGTTCAATGCCATTTTCTAGTGCAGAATTTCTCAACCTTGGCACTACAAAGGTTATTTGCTTTTGGCATCTTGGAGAGTATATGACCTTGACTAATATCAATCCAGAGTACTTTGTTCAATAATGGGTATTTGAGATATTTGCTCAATGAATGCACAAATACAGTGGCTCAAGTCTAATTGATAAAATAAACATTAAAACCCTGAACAAAAACCTTTAAATAGCCAGAATTGGAACATACTGTTGGTCATACAGAATTAATGAACTTGTTTCTGCTTTTCATCACCTTTCAATTACCCACTAATAATGAGCTTCACAGAAATGAAAACGTAAAGCGGTGGGACAAAGCAGCATTGGATGTACTGTGTGTCTGGGTACAGACTGATGTAGCTAGCAGATGAGAAGGTATTGTGGTAGGAACAAGACTTGAACCAGACTTGGACTTAAAATGGGATGAAAGAGGAGGCCATGTGGTTTTTGAGAGCAGAGGAAAGCACTGGAAAAGTAGGGTATAATACTTTAGAAAAGCTAAGATCATGGTGAAGTGACACAGTGTAGGATGCTGGTACTTTTTTGCTGTTCTCTATCAGCAGAGGAGATCCTTTGGTGTTAGTTAGGGAGATACCAGTGTCCCCTTCAGCAGACACTTCCAGGAGTTCTCCGCAAGCCCCCCATCAGGTGGTTTGAAAAGAGAAATTTCATGCCCCTCTCCAGCCACCAAAAGGGGAGGGAGATTAAGGGAGTAAGATGACAACAGTCCTATCCACAGTCCCTCTCCCTGAACCCAGATATGTTCACATATAGAGAATAGGCAGTTAAGATGCCAGATAGAGAACTTTTGTACCTTCGTACTGAAGTTCTGCCATAATGAATCTATTCCCTCCTTACTGGGATGTAATAGTCATCACGATCTGCCTCATCAGTTAAGGCAACAGAAAAATGACACTTGGCATTATGTCCCATAGGAAAGTAGAAGGGTATCTGATAGAGTGAGATACTCAAGAATGCAGGGTCCATGGGTTTCTGGACCAAAGAGAGAAGAGTTCCTAGTGGAGAGAGAAACTTTTGACATCTTCTAGTCAATATCAACTTGTCCCTATGTCTGGAAGACTGCTCTTATATTTTCATTTGGCATTTAAAAAATGGTGGTCTTTACAAAAAAAGAATGAGAGAGGGGGGGGGAGAGAGAGAGAGAGAAGTTCCAGATGGGGGAAGCTAATGATGAAAGCCATTTCATCAAAAAATTACTTTTTCCATTTATATTACCAGAGTTTTAGTGACAATTGCTCCAAATCTCTCTTTATGTCTTGCACCTTTCCCCATGGCTTGTGTTTCTCCCAGAGTTGCTCTCCATTCTTTGTAAGTCATCTGGCTGTTTTCTTTCACAGTTGTTTGCTCATTACTATTACTATCAGCTTGATGGAAGTCTCTGTAGCCAAACAGGTCTGTTTTTTGAGGGTGAGTGAGGTGTGAATGCAAAATGGAAAACAAATTCTCAGGCTTTAGCTGCTTTGTGTGGACAGCTTGATACATAGAGGCTAATTTTACCCCTCCCCCCCCCACTTTTCTCTTGTTTAGCTGCTGCTAGTGAATCTGAGAAGTCCCATGTACAATTCTCTGAGGATGAAAGCGAATCAGTAAAAATCAACGAAGGTGTTTGTCAATTACAAAGACCTGTCAGTATTCACAGCATCTCTCTTGATCATGACTATAAGGCATATGAAAAGGTGGTTAACATCTTACCACATGCACGCCACGCTCACATGCACTCCATCGTCCATTGGAAGATTCCACATAGTGTTTTTGGTTCCATGTTTATTCCAAGTTGTCTGTCAGCATCTTCTCGAGTGTTTAGGAAAAACCTACGCCAAATGAGAAGAGCCAGAAAGTTACAGAAGAAGAAGAAAAAGAAAGACAAAAGAGATTCATTTTTCACGACTAAGCCATTTTACAACATTTTAATTCTCTCCAACCAGTTTGTGAAAGCTTTCCCCACTTCTTACTCTAGGTTTCTAACTTCTAGATTTACTATACCAACTGCTGAGTCTCATCCTGTATCGAAGACTCCAGACTTTATTCAAGAACTCCCTCTCCTGGGAGATGTAAGCGAACCACCATTCAGCCCAATACCTAGTACTTTATCTGTAACACCAGAGCCACAGTGGTCTGAACGACCACGACATCCCCACATGGCACTAAATAAAGTGATTCTGAACATTAATAGTCTCCCTGCAATTCATACTCTGCCAAGGCCTGTTTCACCAAGAAGACCTCAAAGACAGATTGCAATAGGTAAATAAATTTGAAATATGGTTTGCCGTAGTGGGGTCAGTCAGAACAAAGGGAAGGGAAGAAATTCAAGGAGATGGATGGCTCCCTCCCCTCTGGGTTTTCAGGGTATTAAGAAGGAACCACTTTGTAAATTGACATTAATTCCTCAGCTTGGGAGCAACAACAGACACCCAAACTTTATAGAGGTACCTAGTGGTGCCAGCCTGGCTACTGTATTGTGTTGATGAGCAGTACTGATGAGAGCTTATCAGGAAGCTCCGAAAATGTAGAAGGGTCAGTGGGAAGGCACCTGTAGTGAATTAGGTGGGGCCTGAAGTCATCAAATGAAAATAAACAGCAATTTAGAGGGTGGCCTAGATGATTCCTGAGCTTGTTCAGGAAGTCAGAAGTGCTGGTGGGCGCATCCCAGTCCATTAAGTGATGAATAATTATGAAAACACCCTCAAAGGTATCTGAAAGTTGTCCTTTGTTTTTCTTTTTATCCAGAAAGTGCTGCAGAAAGTGGAAAGGTGAAAACTCCTCATGGTAAATGCTGGGTTCATACCATTCTTTTAGAAATTGTAAGATTAATTTCTCTCAATACAAGCATTTGTGTAAGTGTGTAATGCACACACATCTGTTCCTACCTCATTTCCAGTTCCTTTGGCTGTTTATTCAGCAGTTACTTCTTATATATGGATGATGCGTCAGATTTGGTACTAATGTTGAGAATATAGAAGCTAATGTGTTCTTTATCGAGGTAGGGCTGATAGACATACAGTTAGGAGAGTCAACTCTTCAGCACATATCAGACCCCATTCTAAGAGCCTGGACTTTAGTCATCTAGCAGAAACAAACTAAACCCATTTAAAGGAAAGATTGCATTATTCTGATGCCAGAGGTGGTGGCAGACACCCATCATCTCATCACTTAGTAGGTGGAAGCAGGAAGATTGAAAGTTCAATGCCAGCCTGGGCTACATAGTGTATAAGGGTATAAGACACTGTCTAAAATATTATCCTATTTTGGACCTCACATTTATGTCTACCTGCAATCTGACAGACATAGTATGTGGCAGATAATTTATCATTATCAAGCATGCAAAAACAAAATGAATGAAAAGTAGCAGAAACAGTATTAGAGGTAGCCGGCAGATTTTAAGTAAAGAGCTCTGGTCCTGTCAATTAATGAGTAACTTCGACAGTTAAATCTATGAAAAGGTGCATAAAACAGCTTTGGAAGGCACTGGAAAGTAACCCTTGCAGGCATGACTCAGATGGTCCCATTCCCCAAACCTAGAGAAGCTTATGGGTTAGTAGGATCGATGAGCAGGGAGCAAGCTGCAGTCCTGTATCTTGACTCATCCCCCTGTCCTCCTCACTCTGTCCCTCCTCCAGTGACCAGATTTCACTGCATTGCATTGTACATGTTTCTCAAGTTTTTTATTAGATTTTACTTTGATGGATTCAGAGGGAGTACCCTGGTTTAGAAATTTAAAATTGAACATTTTTGTTGTGGTTCTTCTGGGAGGCTTTCTTTCTTACGGAAGCAATTGGAAAATGTGTTTCTAATGGAGCTGAGCCTGGAGGCACAGTACTCAGGAGGTAGAGACAAGCAGATCTCTGTGGGTCCCAAGCCAGCCTGGTCTACAGAGCCTCCAACAAAGTGCTTCTGCAAGAAATATAGCAAAAATAGTTGTGGGTTTAAACTGTATGTCATGGAATTTCAAAATATTTTCTAACTGCAATTTGCTTTATTCTTGCATAAACCATAGCTGATGCAAGTTAATACCTTAAGGGCACACGAAAGGAAATTTAAATGCAGTTAGTCTCTGCTTGGCTAACTTCTGGGTGGTTTCTTTTTTCCTTTCCTTCTCGTATGGAAATCTACACACAGAGGGAAGAGTTAACTTGTATAGGGCATTGGAGCTACATAAGGAAGTAAGTGAAGATGTCTCTAGGGAAGTGACATCTGAGCTATGCTTTTACAATATCCATTATTAATTTTGTCAACCAAAAGGTTGTTCACTTAATTTATAGTGGAGAATTTTTAAATTATCTTTATGCATAGCTCCAAAAGGCAAAGGCTTAATCTAAATTTCCAGGTAGAATCTATCAGTGAACATACAGTTTTATTTTGGAAAGACAGTTTTGCAACAAGCAAGACTCATGTGGCACACAGACCAGCCCAGACTGTGCTGATGAAGGATCTGAGGAATTGATTTGGGAAGATCTGGATAGATAATCCCTTTGGTAATTCATTCTTGTGAGAGCATTAATGTCACTGAACCTTCATACTAAGTCATAATACACTGAAGTTCTATGTTTTTGATTTGTTTTATTTAGCTTTAATTAGAACTATGAGAAAAGTGGCCCCAGGTGCCTATGTTTTTCGAGGGGAAGGTTTTAAGACTATTGCAGCAACTCGCTATGAAACATTAGTGTCGATGTCCGCCCTCGCCATAATAAATTGCCAAATATATGGAAGAAATGCACTTAATCTTAAGGTATGCTAGATCTCTTTAATAGTAATGTCCTCTGGTGTTATCTGTTACGATAAATCTTTCCACCATAAGCTGCCTGAGCCCCACCGCCAAGTGTGTGCTTTACACCAGCCACCTGCCCGAGTTAGGCCCAAATGAATACACAGAAACTTGTATTAGGTTCAATGCTGCTTGGCCAATGATTAGGATTCCTCATCTGTTAGCTCAGTCTTAATTATCATAAATCTATATTTTTTATAAGACTTATCTTATCGGACGCCTTGTTGGCGTCCCTTCTGGCTGGTGGATCACATCATGCCGCTGGAGCAGGAGCAGAGGGGAAAAGAGGGCCCTTCCTGTTTCTCCTTCGCTTAAATATGAGTCTCCTTGTTATGTCACTTCCTGCCTGGATCATCACTTCTCTACTACATTTCCCAGAATCCTCTTTGACTCCTAGTTCCATCTAACTTGCTGTCTCATTGGCCAAACAGTATTTTATTTAACAATCAATAGGATAAACATACACAGTAGTACATTCCCCATCAGTTATCAATTGTTTTTATCTTGAGTTTCCCAATATAGGTTAGTTTCCATTCCATTGAAGGAGTCTTCTCAATTACAGCAGAGATTTTCCAGGAACACATGCAAATTATACCTCTAAATTTACCTGTCCAAGTTTGAGAAATTATACTCTTTTTATTTTTTTCATCATTTAGCCTGATAAGTAGGTTTGAAATTGTTCATATTTTTAAATTGTCAGAAACTTTAGACCTTGTGTCAAGTCTCGTATGAGTCTGGTTTGCACTGAACATTTTCACTGCCTAGCAAATGAATCACACTAGTACTGGTTGTCATTTATTAAGCACAAACTCTGTTTCAAGCCTGTGCTACTCCTACAACTCCCATTCTGCAAAGTAGGCATATCATCTTCATTTCACAGACGCAGACATGTAGGTTGTGGCAAAGTAACTTGCACAAGACCTCACAGTGAGTAAACAGAGTTGCATTTGTACCCAGAACTCTTTGCTTGTCTGAGACAGGCTCTCCTGAACTGCCCGTGTAACTGAGGATAGCTTTTGATCCTCATGCCTCCACCTCATGAGTGCTGGGATTGTATGTGCCACCATGCCCCACTTATATGATGATGGGAATGGAATCCAGGGCTCCATGCATGCTGAGCAAGCACTCTACCAAAACAAGCTACGTCCGCAATTGCCTAGAACTCTTTGACCTCAAAAATCTATCCATTTGACTTTTTTTTTTTTAAAGAAAAAAGGAAGAGGTAAGGAGAGGGAGAGAGAATGTTAGTGAGTTCTAAAAGTGTCACCTACTAGTCAGAGAGAAGTATGCATTTTTTCATTTTATTGACCTAATAAATAGGTTCAGCAAAATTACAGTCAATAAGATCAACACACAGACTCATAGACTGTGTTTCTATGCATCAGAAAAGGAAACTAGGGAAGTAGTTCATGGAAACAGATTACCAACAGAACAATGAAAACAAGCTCATTGTCTTATAAAATAGACCAACTCTCAAGGTGGAAAGCAAAGATTGATACATAAGGTTGTCCTTTGACTGCCACGTGTGTCCTGTAGAACATGTGTCTATACTCACACAGGTACACACATATCCATCATGCATACATGCAAAGAACAATATGATTTAAGATTACATAGAGTTGTAATTTTTCTCATCCCAGAAAAGTTTTGGCAGTGCATCCTGTAGTATTAGTATTAGAAAATCAAACTGTTCAACATAGAATTTACTGTTAATAATTAATCTTATTTTTTGTTACTCTCCTTTAGGGATTCTTTCTTCTGCAGTGTCCAGACTTAAAACCTATAGCTTTTCAATTGGTATACCTTAATTTATCATTTAATGACCTCAATAAGTTTCCTATGGAAGTGAGTCCACTTTTTTGTCTATATTGCTATAATTTACTGGTGTAAATAAAAGTAGATATTTTATGGTATCCTGAAACAAATACACATTAGACAGTGTCTAAAAAGGTTTTACTTATTAGAAGTGAAGAAAGGGTGGCACATTTTTCTTTGGAAATTCATTGACATAAGCCCCAAATGCTATATTACACCAAGCTTTCAAATATGTTCTCATGGTTTTATAATGCATAAAAATAATTTATTCTTCCTTTAGTAACATTTAAAGTAAACTTGTCTGTGTGCTTATCAGAAAATTAGAAAACCAAACTAGCTTGGGTGGACTGGAGTGAAACAGTTTTGTCGACACACGACAGGATCGCAAAGGGCCAATAAAACAACAACAACAAAAAAAGTCAAAGAAAATGAGACAAAAAAAAAGTCTACAAAAACAACGTTGAGTTTGTTTTGTGTTGGGCACGAGGCCTACCCTGAAGTGTGGTTAATATACCCAGTGAAATTCCTTTGGAGAAAACTGCTTTCTCCTTTGTATCGGTTTCAGATAGCTTCCTGGTTAAGGGTAGAGGGCTGTGTTCACTTTCCCATCCCAGTGCTGAGAAGTGACGACAGCTTGCATAAGACCTGTGCAAACTCAAGCCAAACGAAATTCCAGCATGGAGAACAAAGTGGGCACAAAGTCCCACCCCCAGCTGAGGCAATAGGCATTTGATAAAGGCAGTTCTCACCCCTGGTAGGTCAATCACACTCCACAGAATCTTCATATCCAAGAATAGTTTGCACACACTGGACTCTGGTTGGGGATGGGCCAACACACTCTTAGAAGATGCATGGGTAGGAAGGTGGGAGTGGAGTGGGTCCGGGAGGAGCTGGAGAGGAGAGGTGAATATAATCAAAGTTCATTGTATGAAATTCTCAAAGATTTAATAAAAGCATTATTTAAAGGGGAAAGTAGGAAAGTAATTTCAATTTCCCATTGAAATTAGGAAAACAGAGCTTTATAGCCTCCTTCACAACTTTCATGTCCTGATTACCCCCTTACTCATCACTCAGTGTCACCCAGCTGTCCTCTTTTTTTCTAAAAGTATTTAATGAGACACACAATATGCTTTTCAGACTGATTTTATTGTATTGGTTTAAAACTTTTATACAAGACACACGTGAGGATTTGTCTACTTTCCATTCAATTAACATTTGGTTTTTTTTTTCTATTCTTCAGATATTGTGTCTTCAAAATCTACAAATACTGAAACTGAGAAATAACCCTATCAGACAAATTCCTAATGAAATCCATAGATTGAGGTACCTCAGGATTTTCACCATTGCCTTTAATCTCATCAGAGACCTTCCTATTGGGTAAGGTCAAGCTCTAAGGTGGACACAGAAGTAAATGGTTTGTATTTGTATAAAGCTTTTAGTAAATTCTGTTTCCCTTTTGAAAGTGGCTAGAAGCATTTTGATTACTTCAGAATCTTCATGCTGCTGCACTTGGCAGACGCACTAGTTTTTTTTTTTTTTAATTCTCTGAATGACATTTATTTTTTATTTTGTTGGTTTCTACTATACTTTATTCTTTTTTCATATTATTTTTATTTAAATTAGAAACAAGCTTCATTTACATGTCAGTCTCAGTTTTCTCTCCTTCCCTCCTCCCCTTCCCCCCTCTAACCCTCCTATCTCAACCCCTTTCTGCTCCCCAGGGAGGGTGAGGCCTTCCTTGGGAGATCTTCAAAGTCTGTCATATCATTTGGAGCAGGGACTAGAACCTCCCCAAGTATGTCTAGGCTGCAAGAGTATCCCTCTATGAGGAGAGGGTATTTGTGTACTAGGGGTAAATACTGTTCCACTACTAGTGGCCCCTTAGATTGTCCAGAACTACAAACTGACTTCCTCCTTTAGGGGGTCTGAAACAGTCCTATGCTGGTTTCCCAGGTATCAGTCTGGGGTCCATGAGCAACCCCTTGTTCAGGTCAGCTGTTTCTGTGGGTTTCTCCAGCCTGGTCTTGACCCCTTTGCTCATCACTCCTCCCTCCCTGCAACTGGATTCCAGAGTTCAGCTCAGTGTTTAGCTGTGGGTGTCTGCTTCTGCTTCCATCAGCTACTGGATGAAGGCACTAGGATGGCATATTTAGTCATCAATCTCATTATCAGAGAAGGGCTTTTAAGGTAGCCTCTCGACTATTGCTTAGATTGTTAGTTGGGGTCAACCTTGAAGATCTCTGGACATTTCCCTACTGCCAGAATTCTCTTTAAACCTATAATGGCTCCCTCTGTGATGGGATCCCTTTTCTTGCTCTCCTCCATTCCTCCCCGGAGGAGATCTTCCTGTTCTCCCCCTTGTCCTCCTCTCCCCTCCTCTTCTCCTCTTCTCTTTCTTTTAACTCTCTCCCCCCATGATCCCCTTTAGCTTAGGAGATCTTGTCCCTTTCCCTTCTCCAGGGGACCATGTGTGTCTCTATTACAATCCTCCTTGTTTCCTAGCTTCTCTGGCAGTGTGGATTGTAGGCTGCTACTTCTTTGCTCTAGATCTAAAATCCATATTTGAGTGAGTACATACCATTTTTGTCTTTTTGAGACTGGGTTACCTCACTCAGGATGGTTTCTTCTAGTTCCATCTATTTGCCTGCA